CATTGCCACTCTGTTCTCTGTGAACAGCTGCTCTGAACAAGCTAAAAGTGACACAAAGAAGGGAGTGGCCACAGCTCCCGGGGGCAAGAGATGCTCCCCCTTCACAAGTGCACTACTCTTTCCTTACCATCCAGAGTTGTTTAAAACCTCTGAGCCCCCGGTCTCAGGTTAATCAAACTGAATGGTCTTCACAGGCTGATGCAACAGATTCTTAATCTTAAAGGGGTTTAACTATCTTTTCTAACTAGAGGGGGAACAAATGTGTGTACTAGACTTTCTATTCCATGCAGACACTACAGGAGAAGACTTTTCTTTGTTTTGACCCCTGTTTGTTTAGTTGCAAAGATGGATCATTTATCACATGCAAAATCCTCCCCAGAGGAGGCCCGCCCCTATCAGTGAACTGGGGTAGGGGTAGGGGCTGAGGGAGAGGGCTACAGCTGGGATACAAAATGAATAAATTGTAATTAATAAAAAAATTAATTTAAAAAATCCTCCCCAAAGAATAAGCCATACTGACCAATCAGATAAGTCCCCACACACACTCAGATATACACACTCTCACATACACACATACACACTTTCTCTCTCTCACACACACACACACACACAAACTCCCCAAAGAGAATTCAAAGAAGACAGAAATAGGTCCAAGCACATTTTCCCATGTGGGGCTGAAGCTTTCCAAAGATGCTGCTTTTTTGTCAAAGACTAAAGAACATTGTGACTGGGGAGTTGGAACTATGCAGAATGCGAGCCAAAATCACTCTGAGCTTTTGGGCTCTTCAGCAGAACAGCAACTTACCTTTAACCTTGGCATATAGCTTAACATTCTCATGATTGTCGGGTGAACCTCTTGGAAGGAGCAGCAAAGTTTAGCAGCTAAGAGTGCTTTCACCAACCCTAAAGCTAAGTAAGAGTGCTCTTCAGGCATCTGAAATCTACAGAAAGACTTCCCCATTTGGCTGTTGCCCACTACCTGACAATTGTATTTGTTGAAATCATTAATTTATGGCTCTCTGTTTTTCTATGGCTATACAAGTACATGCAACCTCTTCCATGAGGGAGCATGCCATTCCATATTGAATCCCGTCTTGGCCTTGGTCACTCATATTTGACTCAACATAAGCTATCTTCTTAACTTGATGTAAAGCAGAGCGAACTACATTCTGCTGGCCCAGGCAACGGAGGCTCCGCACCCTAAAATAATGTGAGGCGTCAAGCTTGATAGCATCAGCAGAAGCATGACTAGACCCCAGCACAGCCCTGCCACAGAGGACACAGACAGGTTCCCAGCGGCTGTGTTTAACAGTCCTACTCCATGAGGCTGGAACAAAAAAAAAAAACACATCCCAAGTAAGTACTGAACACCTCAGTGGTCCCAAATGGCAAATTCTCACATGCCACCACCACCCAGGACACTCAGAGATTTGTGCAAGGTGCAGGGGCAGCACACGCTGCCAGCACAAAAGAAAGTAAGTGAACTTGCAGAAGAGCAGGCAACAGAGTCAAGGCAGCCGATCCGAAAACAGTGGGAAAGGACTGAGGCTCTGTAGCCTGCACCACAGCCTTGAGCAACCATGCTGGGGCATGGTCATTAATGTCTCTGTGGTTTTTGTCTCTCCCACAAGTCCCTGGGACAAAATGGAGCGGGGGCGGGGGGAGGAACAGTCACATAGAGGTTTGTGTCTTAGAACAGCAGCCCAGCGCTCTGCCCTTTATAACAGTCAGGATAAGCCACAGACAGGATTCACATCTGGCAGCCGTATGACACATGGTCTCTTGAGTCCAATGCCTGCCTTAAGAACTGAGCCCAAATGGCCAGTTGTAGACTCTTCCCCGAGGGAAGAAGGAAAGCTAGATCTCCAAACTCCAGTAGTTCAACCCACTGCGTTCAGAATCTTGCGTGGGCACTGGCTCCTCACCCATCCCATGTCTCTTACTTATGCCGGGGACCTTGCTGTCCAGTCCTCACACTTGCCATGGCTCAAGGTCCTCCCCAAATAGTTGTTCAAGAAAACAATTGAGCCTCTTGTTCTACTGTGAGCTGAAGACACAGGAGGTCTTAAAACACAGCACCGCTTTAAGGACCCACTGCAGTGTCCCACTGCTGTCTTTGCCTATGCTCCCCCGCTGAGGCTCCACCAGCTCAGACCTTCTGAACAACCTCCCACCATTTCCTACAGATGATACAGATCACCGCCACCACTGCCGACGGAATTCCCTGCCGAAGCCAAGCTGCAAGCCTGGATCCCGCTCACAATCAAGGTGAAGCCCAAGTCCCAAGGACTGCTTGGGCTTGCTAATTGCAGTCCCCAGGGCGGCCAATGCTGTGGACCTGGGACACCCAGGGTACCAGCGCTTTAGGGTGGACTATGATCCGGCATTGCTTATAGAAATAAAGGTGCACTCCATTGAGAAACACACTCCTGGCAATGTCAAGTTCACACTGCTAAAAATGTTAGGAAGTACTTTAGATCTAGAAGACTATTTGAAGAAAAAGCTTCTTAAAACACGTCTAAAATACCAGTGGCAGAGACTGCTGGAGCAACGCACAGAGAGCAATTCACTCAGGGCACAACACGTGTGGTTACATCCGAGCCAACGTCAAGCCACAGCACAGAAGAGGAAGGCATACAGACGAAATTACAACTGTGTAGTTAAAGAATACGCATAAACACAAAACCCTTACAAGTGAGTGGCATTCAGCTGGGTTAGTGAGGTTGATGACATCACCTCAGATGGAAACTTCCTTCTTAAGAGCCCAAATTCCACAGGAACTGGACTTCCCCCCCCCCCCCGCCTCCCTCATCCATAGTGCTGGGGACAGCCTTGTTCCCAGGGCTGCTACAAAACCAAGAAAGGTGACACTCAAGCAGCAAGGGCACACTAGCTTTCCACAGCCTCAGCCACAAGAGCTAAGACGGGAAAGCAGCCAAGGCGGCCGCCAATGGCTGAAGGGATAAAGAGTATGAATATTATCCAGCCACGGAAAAGAACACAATCTTGTCATCTGCAAAATGAATGGAACCAGAGGACATCAGGCCAAGGCAAGTAGACCAGCACCAGATGCCACAAAACTATATACTGTATGTCTGTTCTCTCTCATGCGTAGAAGATGAAACAAGCCAACACAAATGTAGAATAGTGATGGTCGGAGGATGGAAGGCGGGTTACAGATGAAGGTTGGGTAATAAGTGCCGAGGCACAGTGAGGAGAAAGAAGTATGTTCCAGTGTGCCAGCATGTGGAATAACTATTTCACAACCTACTGCATATTTTATGAAAGCCTAGCAGAAGGAGCGCAAGGGCTATGATATAAAGAAATGGCCAGGAGAGAAATGCTAATTGTCCTGACTTGGTTGGCATCCTGCGTTTGCACACTGAAATACCACACCCACACCTCTTAAATTAGCACACCCAATTAACACACATTAATCAAGATAAAATTAAATTATAGATGAATAAAAATAAAATTATCTCCATGGCCATGAGGAAAAAATATGAAAGGAAAAGCGCTATGAAACAAGGTGATCAATACAATAGGCAGCGAAAGATAAGAGAGAAATGAAATCACACGAAAGTAGAGATGTAGGAAAACACAGAACAGAAGATGAAAATGAGAGTCAACCAGAGAGAAACCATGAGCTCATTCAGAAACACACACAAGTGTGTCACGTTTAGAAACACATAATCGTGGCCCACAGAAAAGCTGCTCCAGCCCTGAGGATACCAACAGGGAGACGACAAGAAGGTTTCCCAAAGATCCACTCCTCATCCGTGTGCGGTAATAGAGCCAAGGGCAAGCCAGCACAGTGGTGCATGACTACACGTTGGGGGACTGAGGCAAGAGGATCCAGAGTTCAAGGCTAGCTTGGGCTACAAAACAAGATCCTATATTTAAAAAAAAAAAAAAAAAAAAAAAGAGCCACATTGAAGAACTTAGAAAATATCATGGAAATATCACCACAATGATGACTCTAGAGGCCAGACTCTGGAGACGTCTGATTCACATGTTCACACACACAGTACACAACACATACACATGTCTACATGGACATGCACACATGCACACACAAATGCCTATACATGGATATGCACACAAACACATGTACAGACACAGATATTCCCATAGTGCTGTGTGCATCCCTGTGTACAAACGCAAATGTATACATACCCACATATGCATTCTCACAGGCATGAACACGCCCACGCGTACAAACACCCCTCCACATGCTCATTAACGCACACATGATCTAAATATACTTATGCGATTTGTTCTTCAATTAGATCCAACCTTTGCTATAAATACTACATTCCATTACAGTGTCTAGACATGAGAGGAAATGTTTTATAATTAACAGCTATAATAATACATGTTGCTGATAAGAAGGTAAAAACAGTTGAGAAACGGATACTCTGCCCTGTAGTCTGACAACCACTTAGAGGTACACAGAGCGCGTGTGAGCCTCAAGCCGAAAGAAGATTCTGGATTCTTCTGGGAGAGGCACCCATGATGTACCAGGCTTCACTCTTGGGTTTCCTGAGTCACCCTTTCTTACCCAGTGGGCCCAGTTCCCTCCCTACATCAGACAAGGACCCACCGGTGAGAAGCCACAGTGGGACGATGGGGCTGGTGGGGGGTAGGGTTCCCTCCTGGCCTAGGTCATCCGCAGAATAGGGTGACAGTTACGGCAAAGGACGGTTCTCAGGCCAAGGTAGGTGAATGCCTGAGAGCAGGCTGTCAGGGCAGCTGCACATTTATGTTCAGCTGAGGTGCGCCGCTACAGCTGCATCAGAAAGATGAGACACCCACATGCCATCCACAGCTCACAAGCAGCTCAGCTCCTTCAGAGAAGCAAGCCCAGGCCGTCTGCGCATCAGATTCCTCTCTCTTCCCCAGATACTGCCGCGAAACACTGAGTATTATGGCCTTGCCACGAAAGCACGGGCCGAGGGGCATCGCTGACCAAAGGGCCACCCGGTACTGAGCACACTGACCTGCTTCTCGTTCTCATCCTCCAGCCGCAGCCGGTCCTCGATGCAGCTTCGAGCCTGCAGGAAGGCTTTCCGCTGCGAGCGCTCCGTCAAGATCCGAACAAAGACGCCATACATGTTCACTCCCACAAAGAGCAGGGCGTTGGCACCAAGCTGTAGGGGAAGAAGAAGAGCAGAGTGTAGGCTAGTCGGGTGCAGGAGGGCCGGGGCCACCGTGGAAGCACGCAGAGGCTCTTCATAACCGCTCGGCCAGCTCCAAGCTCACAGCAACCCAGGGATGTCCAAGGCCAGCCCAGACCCACCCTGCAGCAGTAAACGAGCCATGTGGGGCAGAAACACACCTTTGCCCACACAAGGGATGGCAATGTTACAGCATGTCATGGGATTGAGGGGAGGCTCCATCTAGGCTGAATTTTACCCCCTCCCAATTTTATATGTTAAAACCTTGATCCTGGAAGACCTCAGAATATATAGCTGTATTTAGAGGCAGGTCCTTAAAGGTAACAATTAAGGTAAAAAATGAGATCGTTAAGGTGAGCCCCAATCCAACCGGGACTGCTAAGACCAAAGCACCTCAGAGGACTGTGAGAGGCCCCAGAGGAGCCAGCCCTGCCCCCACCTTCATTGTAGAACTCAGCCTCCAGCCATGTGAGAAAATACATGTATGTTATGTGAACCCTACCCCCACTCTGTGACACTCTCTTATGACGGTCCCACCAAAACAACACACCTACAACATAAGAATGTGAAATGGCTGCTTTCAACCCTTCTTGGAACGCTCTGGAAAGATTCAGAGGAGAGAAGCTGACAAAAATGAAACTTGAGTAACTGATTTGAATACAAAGCAAACTATAGCACAAGAAGAGCAGGCCCTGCTTCGTCAGCAACCCCTTCCACGGTGACAGGCAGGCTGAGGAGGGGCCTGCAGGAAGCCCAGACTCTCAGGCCTTCTCTGAAGGCCTGATGGACACTGTGTTTGGTTAGATAGAATCTCGGGAATATAGCTCTTGGCCCTGACCTAGCTCTAATCCGTAAGACTACACACAAAATGGCAATGACCAAAGAACTCGGCTCAGACCCCAGACATCAGCCCTGAGCACTTCCCTCTGAATGTGTCTCTTCCCCTGGCCTGCCCCAGTGCCTAGCAGACCATAGGACCAGAGCTGGACAAAGGCATTCATCGTGAATCACAGAGGGGCGTTAGCAGCCCCCACAGCAGGGATGGCCGACCCAACCCAAGGAAATGCAGGCCTGTCAGCTTCCAGGGCATAAAAGTTCTGTCTGATTAATGCAGAATTTCTACCTCTGCATGAGGGAGGAGGAGGAACATGCAGTCTTCAAACGCTACTGTTCCTCACAGATTACCCTCAAGGACCAGACATGGCTGTGCCACACTCTACGCACACAGAACAAGGGCAGAAGATAGATCCAATGTCTCCTAACAGCTGCTAGGAAGATGGCCTGACCAGAGGTAGTTACAGCAGAAAGGAGTGGGCCTGAGACAGCTATGGGACAAAAACTACCAGCCTCTGTCACTCCTGAATGCTGACCTGGGAACAGGTGGGATATCCAGCATGGAACACCACAGGGGACAGATCTGGGCAGCAGAGAAGGATCTAGGTACCTTCAAACTCAGGTTATGTGAGATGACCTCTTTAAAGTAAATTAAAATGAGGACCAGAACTGGGGACTCTTCTTAAAACATCCAGGCCTCAAGAGTGACCTTAACTTTGACTTGATGTGCAAGCACAGGCAAGCCTGATGGTGGTTGTTTCTTTCGAATGGCTTTACTAATGGAAATCAGAGCATACACCCAAGCAATGGAGGCAGCTGTTAATTTAGAGCCGTGCTGCAGCGATCTTCCAGTGGGTTGCACCAAATAAGGTAACGGCGAGACTGCAACCAGACAAGTTCTTGTATTTGCTCTTGCAGTCATCCTCCAGTTACTTACACCCCATGCTTTGCACCGAACACTAAATCCCTTCTGGCTTGGTGCCTCTAACTCCACAAATTCCATCTGTCATAAGGAAAGTTTTGTATTCCAAAGTCGCAAACCAGTAGTGGTCATGTGTACTCTAGAAACATATTAAAGAGAGCATCTCACTATGACCCTGACCTCAGCACGTGAACCGGAGAATCTCACTGTGACCCTGACATCATGGAACTCACGACGGTAGGTACACTCAAGCTCAACCCCATGGTGTGATACTTCCTCTTGGCACCTACTCATTCCCTGGGAGGTCACTAGACCACTGCTGAGGGGTGCAGGCTATTCCAACAGTATCCCCGTGACTCTTCCCACTCACAAGAAGCCAGGCAAATAACTCAACAAGAGGAAAACACATCAACAACATCAGGGGACTGTTCAGGCCAGTGGGGTCCCAGGGACTGTGGGACAGGACAAGCCACAGCTAAACGGCCGGATATGCACAGAGCACGCAAAGTCACATGACACAAACACCAAAACAACCAGCACCATCAGCTCCCCGAGAGGGCAGCAGAGCTCTGGAGAGTACCTAAAGAGGGACACAATGGTATAGGATTCACAATGACTTCAGGAAAGGGCCAGGCCCACTGTTTCTAGGGCTCACAAAACCCTGAGCAAGGCCTGCCACTGTCTATCAAAACTTTTCTTTTCTTTTCTTTTCTTTTACATCCCAAATGAAGTTTCCCCTCCCTTCTCTCCTCCCAGTCCCTGTCCCCAATGCCCCCACCCCAGTCCCATCCACTCCTCCTCCAGTTCTCTTCAGAAAAGTGCAGGCCTCCCATGGATACCAACCAGCCATGGCATATCAAGTTGCAGTAGGATTAGGCACCTCCTCTCCTATTACACCTGGATGAGGCAGGCCAATAGGAGGAAAGAGTGCCAAAACAGAGTCAGACACAGCCCCTGCCCCTGCTGGTAGGAGTCCCACAGGAAGACAAACTACACAACTGTCTATCAAACCAATGAGTCCCAAATGTAAAACTGGAACCCCAGGCTCAACACTATAGAACATCTCTAGATCAGAACACTGGCGAAGCAGAACACCAGGACCTTCAGCACACACTGGTTTGAACATCGCGGCCATTATAAAGAAGACCCCCTATGAGATGCTCGGGGTCACAGGGAGAGGACAGATAGCACACTGTCACCCTCCCTTGCCCTCAACACAGGACAAGAGCCAGGGCTGAGGGTTGAGAAACCAGGCAGGTGGGCCTGCGGGATAACAGCATCTCTCAGGACAATATGGCCCACTGGGCACTAATGGGAGATCTGACCAGCCCCGAACAGCAGGGGGTGTCTGCAATAGGACAAGGCTGGAGGAGAGAGCCATGCTATCTGCTGGTGAGCTGGTGAGCCCCAGGGAAGGGCCTGCCGAGAGGCGGCCCCCACTCTCAGAAGGAACTGAAAAATCAGACAGACGCCACTCCTCAAAGTAAAAACTGCAGTTAAAGCCTCCCTTCTGAGACCTGCCCAAAGATATGTCATCTTGGGCTCAGACTAAGGCTGTATGAATGAGAGTGGATGGGAGGGGCAAAAAGCAACACATTCACTTGTCAGGGTGCTGGGCCTCATGCACCGCCCCTTCCTCCCTGAATGCATCGGAGCCCTTGACTGTAGAGTGGGAAGGCTGCGGGGCTGTATGGACAGGCTAGCTACACAGCAACACTCAGCACAGGGCTGTCCCTGGAGCCCCCTGGCTTCTCGGCATCAGAAGTGAGAAGCTCCCCTCCCCCACGTCCACCAGCTGAAAATCTTCCAGCTCTAGGAGAGAAGGATACCCAACTACGTTCAGGACATCTGAAAGGATGTAGCACCAGTGAGGTCAAAATTCTACACGATGCTGTGCTTCTGGGAAGCACCAAGGGAAAGAGCTCAGTGGGTCAAAAAGCCTGCCCTCCATAGAGAAGATGAGTGGGGAAGGACTTGTGGTGGGGAGTGACCCCTCTGGAAGACTAAGGGATGTCTGCTAAATGCCTCTCATCTGCTCAGGCCTGGCCCACCCAGCTGGCCCTGGAACCCACTCCTCTTCAACAGTGCTACAATTGCATTCAACTGACTGACACAAACTCACCGCCTGAGTTATTCATGGGGGTAGTGATTCTCAACTGTCCCTAGGAAGCTTTCTCAACTTCTGGTCAAAGAGGCATCTGGACCTAACCAACACATTGCCCCATACATGAAACTGGCAATATGGCTGAGTACCTGCTCATAATGTTAAGAGGGAAATGGCTTAGGGTCATCATGAGATTATCAGAGACAAAGAAGCCCCAGGCTACTGAACCTTTGCAGGGGGTAAGTTCCCATCCCACCTCCACACTCCCTGAAGGCATGTTGGTCTACCACTGCCTCTGCCCACACTAGCCTTGTGGCAGCCTACACCAAGCACACTGAGAAGCCAAAGCTTCTGGTCTCATTGTTGTCTCTCTGGCCTTCCACCCAGTCACATTCTTATCCTTTTAAATTAGCCTTTCCTGCTTTTCACTTTTACTTTTTTTCCCCCTTCTGATCCCTTCCAAGATTCTTAGTCTTTAACTGTGGGCTCCACACCTGTCTCAGAAGTGGATGTGCCAAGGAAGGGTACCATGCTTAAGGCCTCTCAACTATTCTCCTGTTTCCAAAAGCACCCATCTCTCCATACACACATGTACAGCACACATCAAATACAGTGATCGTGGTAATCTCACAGACTGTCATGGGTATTCCTCAGGAACCCCAGCCAGCCAGGCGGAAGGTCGGTGCGTGGCACAGCAGAGCTAGCAGGGTCTGTGAGAACAGGGCCAGAACGAACAACGGCTCCACACTGTCCCTGTATCCCCAACTCACTCTGTGCCACTGACCCCATTCTTCAGACAGACACAATGAGGGCAAGGAGGAAGACAGGGTTTCCCAGCTATTGCAACACGTGCACAATCAATCCCCTGCAGCGGCCCCCACCTGAGTGATGCCCCAGCGGTAGGGGCAGACCCTGCATCTGGATCAGTGTCCACCCCGCAGAAATCAGAAGCAAATTAACCCCAAGGAGTCAGTCATCTCCCCCAGCAAAATGCAGGGCAGGCTGGTATAAGACCCCGGAGACCCGCTGCAAATAAGTTCAGAAGCAAGTTCTGGCTGGCCAAACAGAATTCAGAGGAGGATCTCCCAGGGACTCAGAATCCCTCCAAGCCAC